ACAGTAGGAATGTGTCCGTGAAGGATTCCGCCCAGGACTGCTCAGGGACATCAAAGACTAGTAAGTAGCTATCGAAGTCTGAGCTGACTTGATTCCCTAGAAGAAATTTCTGGGGTTTAACCCGGACGAGTGCCAGGCAGCGCTACCGTACAGAGGCTTCTTAAAGCTGTGACAGAATCACAAGCAGTCACAGCCAACACGTGGTGCGAAACACAAACTTCACTTATCACGGTTACGGAGAAGGGTTATGGATTTGAGCATTAGAAAAGAACTGGCCTCCGACAGAGCCGCTGTGCACTAAAGGTTTTTCTCCAGAGATAACTTCTATTCAGTCCAGGTTATAATTTCCCAAGAAAACGGTCACATAGGGTCGTACTAACTTTGCCCAATAAAAAACTTCTTGCTTATTAACTGTCAATAGGCATTACCTCTCCATACACCCCTACTTCCTCATTTATCGCCCTATTTTTCTTCTCGGCGTTTCCGTTAGGTATAAACTCGTATTCCAATAGATAGCTGCTTTTTGGAGCCTGCCTATGGAGCCAATACAATGATTACGTGCCCATACAAAGGTCCAGCCGATGTGCAAGGCAGTGCTTTAAATCTTCTAGACGGGTCTGATACTAATGAAGCGACTCCGGAGGGTTGCAAACCTGTGTTGATCTGGGCGAGTATCGATTAGGGATTCGATACCCGGACCATGCGTGTGTGTTAGTGCGCCCCTGCCACTACACCACCTACTCTAATAGAGTATACATCATTGCAGAAACCCAGCGATCTAATAGTGGTAAGGTCCACAAATCTCCACTATGAGTAAAGGCGGTATTTCCAAATTCTGCAAATTTCAGATCAAATAGTAACTGTAAGGAGTTTTCTGTAACCACGTGGTTTCACATGGTATTTACACTTCCCACTCCCTCCAATTTGTTTTTATAGTCTAACCTATCGAGTTTTCACGACTCGCCCAAAAGTCAACAGAAACTGATAGGCCCACAGTATACGCCCCTTCTCCGCACTTCTTTTTATCGCATTCGATGACGTACATCTCCCACATTGCGGTGCTAATGCTATTGCACTTCACCAGGATACCTCAAAATTAATCCTTCAATTAAAGTTTCTTGCCCAGCAACACTGCTATTGATCAGCTATGTGTTAATATGAAGTAGCCACAAAATAAACAACTAAATTTATTTCAGCAAACATTAGAAAGCAAATACTAACTACAACTCTACTAGTTATCACCGGCATCAACAACTACGCATTCACAACACTTCCTCAAATATGGACGAAAAGGTTTCAAATCTCCCACTCGTAAGAAGCCGATGTTTACTTAGGTCCAATCATGTTTTCTGGCTTCACCCATTGGCCGAATTGCTCTTCAGTCAGAATTCCGAGTTTGATCGCCTCTTCCTTCAGGGTAGTTCCATTTTTGTGAGCAGTCTGGAACACGACTTACTTGAATATGATGATCAAGTTTAACCTAAATTAATGAAAAATTCTCTATCAAAGTACAAACCTTTGCGATCTTTGCCGCATTATCGTAACCAATGTGTGGGTTGAGGGCAGTGACAAGCATAAGTGATTCGCGCATGATCTCAAAGTGAAACAATTTTCTTGATTAGTTTACATAGTAAACAGTGAAAAAAGCGCCGTTGAAAGGAAGAGAAAAGAGATTGCAATTAAATAAACAAGAATACTGACCTTAGCAATGTTCTCCCTATTGGCCTGGATGCCATCAACACAATTCTTCGAGAATGAGACAGCTACGTCAGCCAAAAGTCTATAAAGAGTCCAAATAAGTAGTCCATAATGCAAGAATCGTTCAGATATAGAAGTATAAAACTACCTGGTCGACTGAAGAACATTCTTGACCATCAAAGGCTTGAATACGTTGAGCTCAAAGTGACCATTAGATCCTCCCACAGTCACAGCCACCTGATAAGGGTAATTGTCCTGTTTTGTGAACACCGAATGGTACATTCGAAGGTCTCACCTGATTTCCCATAACCTGAGCAGCAACCATGGTCATGGCTTCACACTGAGTAGGATTGACTTTTCCTGGCATGATCGAGCTTCCTGGTTCGTTCTCGGGAAGAGAAAGCTCACCGAGACCGCATCTGAGCAAGAGAGAAAGTTAAGAATCCCTGCCGTAAATTTCTGATCAAGCAAACGAAAAGCCGTAAGAATACCTTGGTCCAGAGCCAAGGAAGCGGATGTCGTTGGCGATTTTCATGAAAGAAGCTGCAATAGTATTCAGTGCACCATGGACTTCTACGAGAGCATCGTGAGCAGCCAGTGCTTCAAACTTGTTTGGAGCAGTCTTGAATGGCAATCCAGTAAGGTCGGCTACAGTTCTAAACACAGAAGTCAGCCCGTCAAAAGAAGTTTGCCTTCTCTTGTCCATGAAAATCATGAACCCACTTTGCAACCTTCTCTGCAAAGCCTTTGCGAGTATTCAGACCTGTTCCTACTGCAGTTCCACCAGCTGCCAATTCATAAAGACGCGGCAGAGCTGCTTCAACGCGAGCGATACCGTTCTCCACCTAAAAATTCTTGCGTACACCTTCTGAAAACCCTAAAAGGCATTTTCAAAAGCTCACCTGTTGTACATATCCTGAGAACTCTTGTCCAAGAGTCAAAGGAACGGCATCTTGAGTGTGAGTACGGCCGATCTTGATGATGTCCTTGAACTCTTCAGACTTCTTCTTGAGCGATCCATGAAGCTGTTTCAAAGCAGGCAGCAGGCGACTGTTGATCTTTACAGAGAAAAAACGTGATAAAGCAACGTCCAAACGAACACAGCTGACGATTCATATCATTGCGCTCACCTCTCGTGCAACAGCGATATGCATGGCTGTTGGGAAGGTGTCATTACTGGACTGACTCATGTTGACATGATCATTAGGATGCACTGGTTTCTTTGAGCCAAGCTGTCCACCAAGCATTTCGATTGCCCTGGAGTATAGTTCTCATGGGAAATCTATCATTGAGCCTTGGCGAACCATCAAATTCAAGCATCCAGGCAAAATTAATCCATAAGTCCACTTGCTCGTTAAGACCTTGAAGCCTAACCTGTTTGAGATGACCTCATTTACATTCATGTTGGATTGTGTGCCTGATCCAGTTTGCCATGTAACAAGAGGGAAGTGGCCATCAAGTTTCCCTTCAGTGACCTCATCTGTAAAAAGTTCATGAAACACTGATCAAAATATCATAACTGTCACATCGACGATAACAATCAGCGTTCAAGTTGGCTCAAAAAACACAAACTCTCACAGTAAAACCGGTTGAAAGCCACTATTCATCACAGTTCAATCACTCACTGCCATAACACGTACGCCCGTGCTAATCTGTTTGGTTGAAGGCCACACCTTTCATGCAGAAACTTTACTTACCAGCTGCTTTACAGATAGCATCAGCAATTTTCTGATCAAGACCGTACTCTGTGTTGACCTGTAAGTTAGTATTTGATACTATTATTATCAAATCACTTTATTCATGAAAATCGAACTTAAAAAAGTACCATAGCAGCTGCTTTTTTCAAAATTCCAAAAGCGTGCACAACAGGAAGAGGCATACGCTCTTCCGGACCTCCAATTCTGAAGTTCATCTGCGAACTGAAATAAATTTGAATCACTCGAAAATGTTGTGCATGCTTCCATTATAAGACTTGTAGTCTCTCTAAAGCAATCAACCGGTCTATTAAAAGATCTATGCTAAGTATAAGCACTCAGATTGACAAAAAATAGAATTCTCACCGAGCAGTTTGTGCTCCATAGTATCGGTCGGCTGGCACTTCCAGCTCACCAAAAGTATCACGTTCTATGCGAACCTGAATTACCGTTTAGTCAAAATAGCTTCAGGGTTGACATGGGTTACTTGCACCCTGATCCAAACCCCTTGGATATGCCCTATTCGCACGTACTTCCTCGACAAACGTCTCCGAACACGAGCTTCAGAACCACAGCTCAGGCAGAGCGTCAAATGTTCAGATGGCAGATTTTTATCATAACTGATTACAAGCAAATTGATAGCGCTTTCTCAAAAAACCTCAAATTGTTTAGGAAACCACAGCCCATCGCATCTAAACAACTTCCACATGCACCCTTCGCACTTTAAAACTTTATGCATAGCAAAACAAGCATCAGTTTTTCACAACGCCTGCCAGAGTCAAAACATTATTGATGAGCTACGTGGCAATCCCATTCTATTGATCGGTCGACTTTTAGGAATACAATTCCCAGGGAGAGATCGCATGTTATTCGCGTGGTGGCGAAAAGCACTTCAAAATAGTGCCAGGGTAAAAGCCTAAGCTCATATCAATAACTCATATTTTTTGTCGGGGTTATCAACCACATTACTGCGCCTCTACGAAGAGCAACTGTGATGTCACGTAGAGGATCCTTTCCCTATAAATACTTTGCCCTAGGCGATTTGATATGGCGCGTGATAAGGCTTAGCTTAGCACCACTCAGCGTGTGGATGCCATTTGGAGATCGACTCCCTGTTTAGAGCCTTAGGGGTCAGGGCCATTAATAGCCACCAGTCTGTGGCAGCCCCCTTTGTTGACAAACTGACTTACCGCCATTGGGACTGCAGATCGGTGGAAACTCCTGGACGACGACGACGAAGCGAGGACGGCGCTGACTGTGGAAGCACGGGCACAAATGAGGCGAGCGGCCAGCATCTGAATAGCGAAGAGTACCGCCCGACGGACGAGAGACGTTCGCCCGCAGAAGGCCGTCAGAGAACATGTCGGCACGAGAGGTACCAGATATAAAGACATCGTAGAGTTCGTGCATTTACACAGATTCTGATGCGAACGAACGCCCACAAAGAAATATCAAAACATAGAAATATGTGAAAAGATAAGAGGAAAATAGATAGGTGTAGGGGGTGTGAACAATGAAAAGATGTCCAGAGAGTAATGGAAAAGTGGGGAAAAAGCAAGGTCATCGGGAACGACTTCGAAATAGCCACCTCACCTCACGCCGATCAACGTCAAAATGCTCGAACAAATGAGGCTCCACGGGGATATCAGATAAGATACTGATACTGGCTCTAAACGAATAAGTCGTAAACGATAAAACGCCAAAAGTCGATCCCCTTTCCCTCCCCGACTTCATCTGGGGTGTTGTTATGCAAAATAACCAAGTAAA